GCCTATATTTTAATTTACTGACGTTTGGTCTTTCAAACCTATTCATTCTGCATATTGCTTGGAATCAGCGGTGTAAAGAGTTTTCGTCTTTTCTACTGAGTGTCGTGGTGTAAGTGGCAACACATCCATTTAGCAATCAGAAGTTTCAGAGTTCGAATCCCAGCGAGAGCACAACTGGTTTTCTTACATTTTTTGCTCTAAAAATTTCACATCGATGGCGCTCGAATTAAATGATGTAATGGACGATAATTCGTCACCACCTCCGTTTGGTGACTATGTCTCCTTTCTTCCCGGTTAACCTTTCAGTGAGGAATAGTGTAAGATTTTATTTTTTTATTTTTTTCATATTTCACTGCTTGTCTTCGCGGTATAAGTGGTAGCATGGCTAGAGCTGGAAGATTTGGAGTTCGAGTTCCGGCAATTGCAAACCTGAATTTTACACATTTCTCGCTCCTAATAAACCCCACAACTTTATTTTTCAAAATCAAAATTAGAAAATCCATTTTGAGATAATACATCCTTAAAGTATAACACAGATGCATGCGTAAATACTTTGAAATAGTATTATAATAAAACTGCATTCTTCAGAAGTAGAAAATAAAACAGCAGCATTTCCCAAGCTTTTACAATTTTTTTTTTTTTCATTTGCATTTAACATATGAAGACCGCCGTTTTATTCATTACTGAAGCATGTTATTTGAATAATAATTTAGGACAGTAAGTAAAGACTGAATTTCTAGAAGTCTTTTCAAAAGATCTATTTTAAAATTAGTGACTGTGTTAAATCCATTAAGTGATTTGTGCTCCCTTGTATTGAACACATGATGCGATCAAAGTCCTTTTGTGACATTCTTCCCAGCATTTCATGTGTGGCAGAGCAAAAAGCTTTCCTAACTGCGTGTTTAAGATTATCAGGAATAATTGCCTTCAAACTTGCGTGTGCCTTTTGTAATGTAACTGATAGCACAGTCCTCAGTTAGCAATCAAAAGGACCGTGGTTCGAATCCCGGCAAGAGCATAGTTAATTTCTTACGTTCTCCGTTATGTTTCTCATATTTTATAACCGTTGTAATTTTCAACGATTCTTAGTTTTAACTTATTTCTTATATTTTTCAACGTAATTATACATTTCGTATACATTATTTTTTATTACTTTTCTCTTATTTTATTATTTAGCTTTAGAAAAAGCTTTTCGTTTCAGTCGCACTTTCACTTTTCTTAAATGTCTTGCATACTCTGACTTATTTGTTATATTTTCCAGTTATGAACAGAATATTCTCATAATATACTTATCACTATTATTTTATTTAATTTTTGTACAGAAATTTTAATTTAATTCTTTAAACTTTGCAATTTCCTACATGTTCCATCATTTTTAAGTTTAATACAATAGAGCTTCTATCAACCAAAGTTGTTGTTAACACCACCGATAATCGATTCAAAAAAAAAAAAAAAAACTATCATTGGAAAATGTAGTGGGTTTATTTCAGAGCAGGAACGATGAAAATTAATGACGCTTTCGTCCGGATTCAAACTCCAAGCATCCATATTGCTAGCTTGGCATGCTTTCTAGTTACATCACGAAGGCACGCGGTAAAGAAAGAGAAAATTCCTTATAATCTCTTCCACTTAAGAAGCAACTAGGAAGGATGTACCCAGTTGAACATGAAAACATCAAAATTGAACGATGTCCTCGCTAGGGACTCGAACTCAGAACCTTCAGGTTCCTAACTGGATGCGCCTTTGAGTTACAACACGAAGGTACGGGGTAAAGAAGGAGAAACTTTATTACAAGTTTAACAGAGAAAATAAGGTCAACATTCTGGAATTTTGCTATCAATGGGCTATCTGTTGACCTCTCTTATCAGTGATGAGTCACTTAAATGCCTTCCTGTTGTGCATTATGGGAGAAAATGAGGTTTACGTATCTTAAACAACGTTTACTGACCATCGGTTTTTAAGATAAAAGAATTTTCAAAGAATAAAAGGATGTCAAGGTATCGCTGAATTTGAAAGTTTGCACTGCTGAAGCTTTACTTTTATTTTGATGATTACAAAGCCCTCTAGAGCTATCCGCCTAAAGGACGGGATGCCTTCATGAATGACATTTAAGAAGAAATTGGATCTTGTTCACATTCCACATGGGGAAAAGCATGAAAACTCCCATGCAGCCAGCCCAGTCGTCGGGATTTGAACTTGTGTTGAACTATTATTGCTAATCAGTTTTACCGCTCTCTTATTGGTAGACGTTCAGGCCTTGAGCAATGTACTTGATTACTTCAGGAAACATCCCTTTGCTTCTACTGAGAATGTTTTGTTGTTTAAAACTGGCGTGGCTCTGCAAGTGCTGATAGAATGTTAGGACTGTCACAAGAAGGGTAATAGATTTTTTTTCCCCAAAAAGAGAAAAAATAGTTTATGAAAATGCATGTAAGAACTTTCACAATTCATCAGATTGTGTAAATTTTGATGGAGTTTGTTTATCACAGTTTTTCCTAAATATTTTTCTCACGAGATAAAATCTTTTATGTATTATTTGTTTAAATGAAGGACATAAATTTTACCTAGTAAGGAATCAGATTCTTAAACTGTTAACATTCATGTATTCTTATTAACCTGCGTATTTTCAAAACTTCAAGTAACCATTTATCAGAAAACGGTGTCAAAAACAAAATTAGCATGATTTAAAATTCAGTCTGTATTACCTAATTTCCGGCTATACGAGGTGGTTACGATCCCGGTTAACTCGAAGAATCGAGGCTCTACTACATTTCTTTTCACGCCTGTTGTTACTATAATTTAATCGACCTTACTTAAACTTCATTTTACAATTTTATTTTAATTTACCCTTTATACTTTTTTCGTCATGTAATACTTTACATAATCTTAGTACTTACTAATTCTAATAATTTGCTCCGTTTCATTGTGGCCGAGCTCACTTGTCTAAGCTAATCAGAAAAAGTCCACGAATTTTATCGTATCAAGGAGTGCATGATGCGTCTGTCGTTGGCATGGCCTTGACCTCCGTATAGGTGCCAGTACAACTTTGTCCAGATCCGCGCCAATCTTGAGAAAGAGCACCCCGTGGGACGGGTCTAATCGTCTCCTACCACCAAAGCCACTAAGAAGGAGTTTCGATTCGCTATGCATTTTAAGTGCCCGTATGCTCCAGAGACACTATACATTTACACACATTCATGCCTTCTCAGGATTCGAACTTGGGCCCTTCGGTACAGCAGTCAGCACCACTAACCACTACCCCGTCGGTGGGGGGCGGTTATTCCTCTTTAATAGTTTGAACCTTTATAAATTCCTGGATACTCTGACATTTGTTTATAACTCTTATCTCATAGGTTACACTTTAAGAGTATAATATAATTTTTCTCCCGCAACTTTAATGATACGGTGTAATATCATTTATATTTGAAAGTGTGTATTTGCTTCTCATATACTTTTAAGTACTTCGGTTTTTTTTAAGTGTCATGCTTAGCTTTGAACACCGATTACCTCTCACACAAAACTGGTGCATCTTCAACTTTTAAAGCTGATATTTTAGAATGAATCTGCATCTGTCGACAGCACTTTGTCAGCATAATTCACTATTTTGCTCACGCATATGCTAATTAAGGCTATGTCCGCCTTAATTTTTTTACTTTATCTTTTATTCTACTCATAAGCTAATTATGGCAATGTCCACCTTAAAGGGCAATCTTCAAGGAAAGCTGGCAGTTATTTATGGCATACATAAGAACAATTTTTTTCAGTACCACAGTCAGTTGAATGACACAGTTTCAGTTAAGACTAATTGTTTCAGTACTAAAATAAAAACTGCCATGAAAGCATATTCTGTTCCAGACACTTTTTTACAACTACGCTTTCTTAACTTATTTAAATATGACAAAGCACGTGAGGACTGCCTTTCTAAGAGGAAGAATGCCTTCCTGGAGGACTTTCTAAGGGAAATCAGCTCGCATTCACCCTACACATGGCTAAAAACACGAAAACCAACCATGCAGCCTGCTCGTTCGCTTGGCTTAGAACCCAGGACGAACTACCAGTATTCAGCAGTCTTTGAATGCTTGGCTACTAATGGGTCTTTTTACAATCATGGCAGTAATCTTCCGGTTATTTGTTATAAAAACTGATGTTTAACATGACGTTAGATTGCTGTTGGTTTCTCTGATTCGTTATATATATTGCGTAACTTGAACTCTTCTTTGTAACAGAATGTCTAACGGTAAATTTCTGCATTGCACACGAATATCTTAATAAGTTGAAAAACATGACTTCTGTATCCTAGCATTCACCAACACATCTTTATTATTCAACTGCATTTTCTTGCTGAAGCAAAAGTAATTTCAGTTTACAAGTCTCTTTCATTTTTTCTAAATCATTTTAATCTAATAGTCTATCTTTTTAATCTAATATTTTCCTTTTAATCTAACAGTATGTCTTTTTCATTTAAATATTTCGAATGCTTACAGTTTGTACTATTGATTTTTATCAGTGACACTGTAAATTCTATTACGGACTAAAATACACTGATAAACATGCATTATGAAAGAGAAACGGTCCCAAAGTCAAATTAAATACTGGGAATCTATCCACGTGACATGAAAAATACTTTGGTATCTGCGAATTAACCTGATATCAAATTTCTGATAAACTATTTTAATTTTCTTAACTTCTCTAATTCTAACTTAAACCACACCGACCTAATCGCAGTAGCTAATTAGGGAACTTCTTTACTTTGCTGCATAGTGATTAAAATTCAGTAATTAATCCCTAGTTAAATATTCATTTAAAACCGATCATTAATACTGTAGTTTGAAAACCGTTCAAATAAAATTAATCTTTCCCGCACTGATAGAGAAAGTTATCTTCAATACTAACCATACAAACAACAGTGCAATATGAGCAAGGTAGCTGTGAAACCTTTGCCCTGATGAAATCCCGCCTCCTTTCAAGTAAAGAAAATTTGATACGTAGAGAGCTGCTGTCACTTATCTGCATGCGGGAAGAGGCAAAGTAACGGGCTTTACTCAGTGTTTGACATTTCATCTTCGTAAATCACTCAGCTAGACAGGTAAGAAGAAATCTTTTATGTTTTTATTGTACAGTTATATTTTATATCATGTTTGAAATCTTTTACTCAAATTGATTTGCGACGATTTTGGATTTTCTTATCACTAGGAGCAACATTTCAAATTCCTTACGAGATTTCGCCATGTTCGATTAATAGTGATTACAATCTTGTTCAAATTCTTAAAAATACATTCAAATGGCTTAATTCGAACTACTACTTTTCTCCTTGACGGTGATTAAGCAAGTGCCTGTCTTGACGTTTTGACGACTGAGATAACGCGAGCATGTTAAGCTGGTAGTGTTTGTGAAAGGTGTTTTCAGTTTTATCAAGATTACATAGAGATGAGTAAATACATGTTACCTATTTCATACTATATTTGTGATTTTTTACGCAGAAGCTCGTAAACAGTTCTTTAAATGAAAACTCTTCAACTTGGACCTGGAATAAAAAGCGTTGAACTATGCTTCGAATATAAAAATCACGAAATATTTATCTATACAAATAAAACCTATATATAAAAGAAAATGCATACCTTTCACTAGAAAAAGTGTTACACATCTGCTGTCGTTGCTACTTATCCTCTAAATTGGAGTGGATCTCAATTAAGTCTATGAACTCTTTCATGAACAAAAGGTAAAAAACGCCTATTTTGGGCCTGGGTACTTAATAGGTGACAGCCCGGCTTTCCCCAGCTCCGGCCCAGTTTCGATGGAAGACTTGCCAGGTAGACGGATCTAAAAGTTCCCTATCCTTTTCGCATACCACCAACTTTTAGGAAGAGAGTCTTAGCTCTAAGATATTTAAAATGCTCCTATGCCAAAAAGACACTATACGTTACAAACACCCGTGCCTTCTCTGGGATTGCAACCCGGTCACAAATCAGAAGTTTCTAAATTGCATGCTGAGAATGTTATGACGGGAAATATGCGAGGAAGAGAAATGTACGATAAGTAATATATCTGTATATGCCAATGGTTCCCAAACCTTTTGACATGCGAAGCACTTTTTAGAATCAGCTCCTCTAATGGAACCCCTTAGACCCGTTCTTTGTCTTGGAAGTTAATGATGTTTAAGAATTGTATTTCATGTAAAGGTTAGGTTAGGTTATTTGTATATGGTAACGCACACGATGGCTATCTTCCTGTTACAGGAGCAGGAAAAGACATAGAGAGTAGGGGAATGCTAAGTAAGGAAATATCTAAGCAGCAGTGCAATGTCCATGAAAGAAATTACATTTAAAAATTTTAACTTTACCGTAATATTCCAATTTATTCTGAAAGCAAAATTGGGAAAAGTTAGAAATACAGATATGTTCCATTATTTCTGACAGCAACATTAAAATCGTTACAATAAATTCCGTTTCTGCAATTAATCATTGTAATCAATCTAATTCAAACACATATTACCTCATTACTTGTTATTTGAAATTTTTATTACTCTTTACAGAAGGTAATCACAATTTTATTTAAGAGAATAAAGTACACTGTAACCTGAATTAAGAGAATATAAACAAATGTTTAATGAAACCAGTTTTGTTATTTTAGCGCACAGTTTTGTGCATATGTTAACGCCTCGAGACAACCATCTTATTTCAATGAGCAGCAAGTGGGACTCATGGTGGCTTCCCATATTCTTCACACATTAGTATATAGATTCTGCTTTTAAGAGATAAAGGTTTTATGCAGTTCATTGCTTTTTCTATCTCATTTATTAATTAATACTTTATTGTTACATAGCTAAATTTGTAAAAAAGTTAAATGCACAGAAAGCTCGTGGAAAAATCGCTATGATATCACGGTATTATCGCTAAGAACGTTCTCTGTGAATTTACTCCATATTGACAAGACACCTGTATTTATATAGGGCTAAGTTTAGAGAAGTTTCGAGCAGATTCGAAGAATTTTCAAAGGATCCGGAATGAGTGAGAAACTTATCAAACATGCAGTTCCAAGTAATGGCCAAGCAACGTTTGCCAGAGGAGACTCGAAATTAAATTTAATGAAATTTCTCCTTTAAAATATATTTTCTAAATTTCTATTTTCGATTTCTTATTTTTCAGTGTCATCCATTTTTTACTCATTTTATTTTTTTGTAATTGCCGAGGAGTTCCTAAAACATGACCAACACAGACTTGGAACCTCTGATATATGTGTTTAAATTTGTAAAGTCTGTACCTCTTTAGGAACATAAAAATTAGACTTTAAAAAAGCGCTGTTGAAGAATTGTCTTCTAGCCTTGTGAAATAAACCAGAAATCAGAAGAAGAAATCAGAAGAAGGGTGTATAAGACCCTTTTTTTTCAAACATAAAATTAAAAAATTACCCAATTTGGGTTACAAGAAGCCAAGCTCTTCTTGCTTAACAGAACAACGTAACAACTAATACGTTCAAGGTGTGGTAGATTAGCCTAACGGCTCATAGAATACTTAAACGCGCAGGAAGAGCTCTGGTTTGTAGTAAACCGGCGAGACAAGCCTAATGGCTAGAACACTCAACGCTGTTAACGCAAGTCGCTAATAATCACAGCACAACGTGGCCTGGAATAGGCGGACACTCTCTAAAACTAACTTTGATACTGTTGAGTAGAACTGTGTCAGGAGGAACTTTATCCCGCTATTACAGGCACCTCAGATAGCCTGGTTAGGAGAAACCTCACATGCGTAACCTTAGAGTAAAACTAACTTCCGAAATTCTTGCTTAAATAACACTTCAGTCTACCTTAATCTGAATAAACTCTCTCTATCTCATTTACATTTTGACATGAAAAGTGTGGGTGGAAAGACAGTAGTAGGAAAGTGCTAACTTAATATGAACTATTAGTTAAAAGTAAATAGAGAAACCTCACAATTTTCTTTTAAATGATAATTCATACTTTGAGTTCTGACTCATAAAGTAAATGTTCCTGAAGAATGAAAAACTAAATTATGGTTCTGATGGAAAGTAGCTAAATCAATTGTTCGTAATCTTCTGTCTTATCATACCTTGATATCTAAAAGGTATTATCACATTCCATTATCTTAACAAAGTTTAACATGACTGATAAATGTGAGGTATACTGCTTCCGTTTATTATGGTTTAAAGCATTTAATCTCCGGCTTTTAAGAGTCTTTCCCGTTTTTTCATCTGAAATAAAAACGACATTTAAAAATTAGGAATTAGATCTAAAACAAAGTTAAAAAACTTTTAAAAAGCATCTTTACAGCACTATTACTTATTCCCAGAAAAAAAAAAAGGTTTGTAAAAAATGCGTCTTTACTATGCTATTGCCAAAAAATAATACGAAAACAAACATAAATAGAAAACACTTTCAATTACTTCAATTACTATAGACTGCAAGTATGTATTTTGAAATTCTGAAGAAAAATATATGCAGGACCAGGGAAAAGAATAAGCGTTTTCTGTTTTAAGCAAATTTGTGCATCTGCCGCAGCTAATGGATTGAGTGGCACGATCAAAATAGATATTATAGTACCTGAGTCGCTACTACACGTGCAGTACTTGGTTTTAGCTTCAATGAGCAAAGCTAAGCGTTTACTTGATTTTGACACATATATCATTATGGAAAAACACCTTAGACGGAAACATGTTGGATTCAAAAATATCTGTAGGTCAAGGGAAATAATTAGCATCATTATGAATTATTATAAATATATGACGTTTCGAGGCATGCCTGGAATGGCCACGTTGTAATGATTATATCTGCTTCTTTGTACCTTGGCATTAACCATTATATAGAACTTGATGAAAGACCCAATGTGTTCGTACATACAATTCAGCCTATGCACTCGCCGGAGTCTCACTGTCTCACTAGCCGGAGACCTATTTTTTGGGACTTATGATCACAGGCCTTCATCGCCGTCAACACTCGCAATGGATGCTTAAACTACATTAGATTATTGATCCTCCGAATAGACTCACGTGGTTAGACAAATTGCATTTTCTACCATATCACGTGAGCCCGTGAGCACGTGACTCGTATCCGATTTTCACCTAAGAATTCCTTCTCAGAAGGTACACTATTAGGCAATCTGCAAGGTAAGAAACACATGTGAAATTCTTAGACTCAACAACCCTGTTGAATAAACTGGCAACTCACATCGGCCGAAACATCGTTGATGCCTCTTCTTTACGGGCACTGCTTACTCTTGCGAAAAAACTCCTCCAGCATTTTAAATAATGAATATGCTGCATGATTATTGCACGGGTCTTGCTAATCCCAAAAGTGATTTTCATTTTTCGACAGTAAGATTTAACTAAGTGAATCTCTAGATAATATTTCGATAGGTGTGTCAGCGTCCATGGTTGTTTAAAAAGCAGGGGCCGGATAATTCGTGGCCTTGACATGGTACAACAGACTTCAGTTTTTGGAAAATGCGGAGGAGGCTCGATAAACAGATGCAATTATCAGAATTCCATCTTCGATAATTTTGGTCATAGACATATTCATTTCAATAAAATCATGTCTCATCTGTGAGAAACACTAAAATGTAAATGTAGGCATGAATGAACTTTTCACAAAATATCATTAATAGATACGACATACATTACCACATTATTCAACACCTGCTGCAAAAAAATAAACTATTTTGAAACTTTAATTTTACATGTTTGGAATGGAATACTTAAATAATGAAATTCTAAGGGAAACGACATCATGAAAATGAAATACGAACTAAAAGAAGACTAAAAATTACTCAGGAGATACTTGCTGTGGGAGCAAGAGTTCCATACGCACCTAGGCGAAGAAATGTTAGACTTCATATACATTGTCTGTGCTAAATGTTTCTGTTTATGTATAATGAAATGAAACTGTAAGCGTAAATTGTTGTTATTGGTCAGTTAAATGTAACATCTGATTAACAGTCAAGTTTAGCCGATAAATATAAAGAATAACAACTAAGTAATGCTAAACTCCCAAGTTTTTAGTGAAGTTCATAAACTCTTAAGGATCCCAACTGAAATGAAGACAAACATTTTTAGATGTAATAACAACATAACATT